GCGCCGCACGGGCGCGGCGAGCCTCTGAGCGGGAGCGGAAGGTTTGCCTGTGGGAGGGAGGGAGGGAGGGTGGGAGGGAGGGTGGTGGGGGTGATTTGACTTTGCCCGCAGAGGCCGTCCCTAGCTGTGAACAGCAAAACGGGACAGTATCCAAAGGATATCCACCTCGAGAACCTCGAGAACAAAGAGAGGTCCCCTTCGGCCGCATGGAGCCTCTCACTGCGGTGCGGCGAGAGCCGGACCTATGGAACACGTTGTGCATGGTCAACCGATCTGGGAGCAACCAAACCCGCTTCCGCGCCGTCCTGGACGACGCACTCGTCTATCATCTACGTCTAGGCGATGCGTGCGGTTCGCTCGCAGCCTCGGGAACCTCGAGTGCGCTGGCGGTGCGAGACTTCGACGCAGGATTCCGAGCGTACGAGAGGTGGAACACGCCCGCCGAGCGCGTGCTGATCTTCAGAAACGCCGTCGCAGGGCACGGTGGGCTCATGGCGGACGGGGCATGCTATCCGCTACCACAGTTGAGCTGGGGCGACAAAACCGCGAGCGCGTGCCGGGCGCCCCGACCAGAACGGGCACGGACCAGGAGCGTCGAGCAGCTCGTGTACTTGCACTTGGCCTTTCACTTTGATGCTCCTGGGCACAGCATCTGCCAGCTCTTTCCCGCGCTCGCGCTCGCGCTCACCCATCGGATGCTTCACCGCCCGCTCGCGGGGCGAGGCACGGCGGCCTTCTTGCCTGCCTTCTTGCACACGGACCAGGATGTGCGCGTGGGCTGGTTCCGCGAGTGGGTGCAGCTCGTGGGTGGGCGCGGCATGGAGGCGAGGCTGCTCCACGGCGCCGTCTCTGCCAACCAGGTGCTCGTGCCCATGGGCACCGGCAATGTCCGGGGCGCGCCGCTCGCCTCGACGATGCGCACGACGCGCCAGCTGATCTGGCGCAATCTCGACGACCTGACCCGCCGCCCAGCTCCGATCGGCGGCGACGCGGCGATTGGTCCGCAGGTGGTCCTTGTCACACGGCACAACCAGAGTCGAGCGATCGCGAACGTGGATGTGCTCGTGCGGGCGCTGCACGGCTCGCTCGCGGCTGGCGAGTTGGCAAGGGGGCGGCTGCACCGCTTCGAGGACACACACTCCGCCATCGACCAGTGCGCGCTCTTCCGCGCCGCAGACCTGGTCGTCGCGCCCCACGGCGCCGCGCTCGCCAACTTGCTCTGCGCGCGACCGGGGACCGCTGTCGTGGAGCTGCATGCGCCGGTCTGGCGCCCGCCGGGACGGTCGGAGGCGCAGCCGAACATGGTCTTCCTGCACCTCGCGTGGCAGCTGGACCAGCCGTACTATGGCGTCCACGTGCCCGGGGCGACCTACACGGGTACCATGCACGTCCAAACGGCGAGAGTCGTCCACGCCATCCGCACCCTCGCCTCGAGAGGGTGGCTCCGAGCGGCTCGTCGAGAGCGTCGCGTGGGGCGAGACGCCCGCTGACCCTCGAGAGCCCCGCCACGCGCCCGCTGACCTCCGATGCGATATAGGTAGGTAGGAGAACCTACAGCTACACTGTACAGTGTGAACGTGAGGCCCGTGTCTGGCGAGTGTGAATTCTTAGACCGCGGTCACACGCTGCACGCAACACATACATGACGTTGTGAATATCGAGCAGTGTTTCTGTGAATAAATAAATTAATAAATGGAGGCCCTTTTGTGCGGAGATCAGCAGGAGGATGTATACGAAGAGATTAGGAGCAGCAGGGATCCGAGGGACCATGTGGAAGACGGCTAGTGATAGTCCCCCTGCTGCATCGGGAGGACGACCCCGGCTAGCCGCCGACCACACCCACAAAGAACCCTGCACAAAGATCGCACGGGCGGGGACCTGTTCTTTTTTACCCACCTCACAGTAGAGAGGTGTCTGTTTTTATTTATTTATTTATTTAAACCCTAGCCTTGGTGTCAGGTGAGGTGTGTGTGTGTGTGCGGATCTCATCTGCGGTGACCGGTGTGTAGAGGGTCTGGCGCGACCTCGCGTCGGGAGGGTGATGCGGCCCTCGCGCTTTGCCGTGTTTGCAACAACACCGCTTTTCATAAATGTACACACATAGGAAGCGCTAGCCGCGCACGAGACGACGCCAGAAATAGCAGTAGGGGGAGGGCTCCCAGGGCTTTCCAGCGGTCTGCCCAGACATGTATAGCCCCATGATCTCAAACCTTCCAGCGGTCTGCCCAGACAACCTGGCAGTGCGAGGGCCGGCCGACCTGGCGCTGGAAGGTCGACCTGGCGTTTGCACGGCTGGAAGGTCGACCTCCTTTTGGAGGAGAGGCGGGCGCTGGCCGCCCACCCACCGTCGCACGGGGGGACGTGGTCTGCGGCGGAAGTGGAGTGGGCGACGTGCTGGGTGCATGAAGATGAGCCGTGCGTTCGCCGGCAACGGCCAAGGCCCGGTGATGATGCCGTTCATCGATCTCATCAACCACGAAGGCGACTCGCCCACTTGCTCCGAGCACGGCCATCTTGTCGATGAGACGAGCGGCGAGTGGCTCGCCGAGGTGCGCGCGCTCCGCAGGCTGCGCGAAGGCGAGGAGGTGACATTTGGTCACTTGTAGTGAGCGTCGGGCGGTGGTTAACGTAACGGGGTCCCTTATGGTGGCCTGCAAGGGTAAGGTGTGGGAGCTCCACAAACCAGGTTAGGACGAGGCGAGCTCCTGCTCCAAGTGCTCCTGGTCGACGCGGTCGTGGCTGTTTGCAGGTAGGTCCAGCGCATGTGTGTGTCAGTCGCGCTGCAGCTCGCGGCATCGCGACCGCGAGCTCAGGCTCGCTGCGGCGTCGGACGCCACCGTCGCCTAGACTCCCCTGCGTCACTAGGTGCCTCCCCGTATCTGTATGTTGATGCCTGGCGTCTGTGCCCCGTCCGTGCCGCGTCCTGTGCCCCCGGAGTTCATTTATCTTTGGAGAGCGAGACACACACGAGAGCGCCTTCGTTGCTCTCTCTCTCGAGGTTCTCGAGGTGGATATCCTTTGGCCGCGTTGGGTAGCGAGGATTGGTGTGACGCGATCCACGCAGGCGTGAATTCTGACGGCCGACCGTCAGTGCACCGAGTTGCCCCTTCTCCGACTGCCCCGGCTAGTTCTCGAGGTCGCGCGGGGCCGACCCCTGTTCCCCCGAGACCTAGCGCGGGTGGGTTGGAGGGGGCTCGCTGCAGGGAAGGGCTGTGTAAGAAGCCGATCCCCGTAGTCCGCCCCGCTCCTCCCCATCGGGCCGCGTGAGCGGCCACGCCTCGCAGATTCGTTTTCGCGCCTGGGTCAGGCGCGCGGGGCATCCCCCGGGTCGCTCGACCAGCGATCCGAAGAGTGGCCGCTATGCGAAGGAAAGAGTGGGGCCCTCGGGGTACGCCTCGTCCGGCCCCCTCCGAGGGGGGAAGGGAATTGCGGGGTCCCCACGGGCGCCTCAGTTCGGCCGAGGGGGGGGAGGGGAGCAAGGGGGTGGGGGGATCGGGGCGGTGGGGAGGGGTCTCGGTTGCATGGGTCTAATACTTGCCTTTCGGGGAGGGGCCTCGCGCCGTGGTAGCGCAGTGGCGCCCTTCGTTGCAGGTTAGGAGAGAGGGATCTTTAGCAGGTTAGGTGACTGGCACAGTTCGGTCGGAAAAGAGCCACCGTCAGGGGCAAGATATGGGCGTGACAGGCCTTTACCCCAGTGTCGTGTGTGTCTCGCGCGTTGCGTGTTTCAAGAGAATGTATCGCGCGCCTTGCGGGGGGGGGCGCGCGGAAAAGAGGAACTTCTTAGCGCCATCGCCATGGTGCTGCAAGCAGCGCCGGGCGACGACGACCTACCGCCTCCCGGTCCCCCTCGGCACACCTCCGCTGCTTAATGTTTGACGACTTGAACCCGCGAAGCTTCCCCGTGCGCGCAGGTTACCTGAGTCAGCCTGTCGAAGCCTGAGTCAGCCAGCTGCCGCAGGTCGAGCGCGCGCTGCGCCCTGCCGCCCTCCTCATCGCCGAGGTCAAGCTGGTCGGTGAGGAGGTAGCGGATGAGGGCGGTGAAGGTGGCGAGGTCGGTGTTGCGCACCGTGACGCGGCGTCGCGCTCCTTCATGCCGATGCCGAACATGGTCCGAAAGAACACGGACCGAATGCAGAGCAGGTTCTTGCTCACGTGCTCGACGCGCTCCTCGTCATCGCCGACGATGAAGGTGACCTTGCCTTCTGGGAGGGAGGCGTCGCCGCTCATCTGTCCGAGGTCTGCCGCGAGGGTCGAGGGCGGCACCACGATCGGCGCGAAGGTGGGAGGCGGAGGAGGCGCCAACACGCAGACCTGGCGGAGGCCACCGTCATCCGCGCTGCAAACCAGAAGAGCGCTGCCGTCGGTGCTGATGGCGACGCCGAGTGGGTTGTGGAACTGCGCCACAGCGCCCACGCCATCGGCACTGCCCTCGGTGCTGCTGCCCGCGACAGTCGTCACCGCGCCCGTCGCCACCTCGACCCGTCGGATCTTGTGGTTGTCGTCGTCCGCAACGAACAGCGCGCTGCCGTCGGGGCTGATGGCGACGCCGCATGGGTAGTAGAACTGCGCCGCGCCGCCCATGCCATCAGAGAAGCCATAGGTGCCGCTGCCCGCCACCGTGATCACCGCGCCAGTCGCCAGCACCTCCACCCGGCGGATCTTGTGGTTGAAGCGGTCCACCACAAACAGAGCGCTGCTGTCCGGGCTGATGGCGACGCCGCATGGGTGTTTGAACTGCGCCGTGCCGCCCACGCCGTCCGCGCGCTGCTGCCGCGAGTGCCGCTGCCCGCAAGCGTGGACACCGCGCCCGTCGCCACCTCCACGCGCCGGATCTTGTCGCCGCCCCAGTCTGTCACAAACAGAGCGCTGCCGTCAGGGCTGATGACGACGCCGTGTGGGCAGAAGAACTGCGCCGCGCCGCCCACGCCGTCCGCGCTGCCGGGAGTGCCGCTGCCCGCAAGGGTGGTCACCGTGCCAGTCGCCACCTCCACCTGTAGGATCTTGCGGCCGCCAAAGTCCGCCGCAAACAGCGCGCTGCCGTCTGGGCTAATGGCGATGCCGCGGAGGCCGGCTTCTTCCAGGGTTGCCACGCTGCGCACGCGCCCGGCCATAGAGACGTGCAGCACCGAGTCATCAGTGGTGACGTACCAGGCGCCCGCGCGACGCTCACAACGCCAGTCACGTCGTCCAATGCCAGGGGGCCGTCCTCGCCCTCGAGCGGCAGCGTGGTGACCTGGCCGACGACGCGCACGCCAAAGAGGGGCGCCTCGAAGCCATCCGCGACCGCCACAGCCCCGCCGTCCAATTCGCCGTCCGCGCCGGCGGTGCGGGCGCGCTTGCGGGCGGCGGACGCCATGCTCGAGCCCCTGCCGCCGCGTTTAGAGGGCCGGGTTCGGGACAAGGGCTTGGTTCGGTATCGCTCCTGCGATGACTGACGTACTTACGTAGGGACGTCACGATGCGCTCCCTCCCCGATCTGACCGCCGCCGAGCCCTCGGGTATCGACCGCAAGGACCATCGGCCTCCGTGGCGCGTGGGACCCTCCCGGAGCTCATCTACACCATCGCCGCCAGCCCCTCGCCGCGGAAGCAGACGTAAGAGGTTTTAGCAACACTGTGTTTGTTGTTCAGACATACCTAATAAAGTAGCCAAATGAAAATATCTTACTTGCACTCCAAGTGGAAGTGCTCCCCAACTCTTCTCGAGTGTTCTCGCCGCAAAAGCGGCAATGCCGGCTCAGACTGTGAGCGCTGTCAGAGCGGTGTTTCAACACCGAGATCGCTCTTGAGGAAATATACATTGACGGCGGGGACGGGGACGGGGAGGGCGACAGCGACGTCGAGGTTGACGCAACCGTATCGAGAGCGCCACCCAAAAGGAGACGGACGGCCATGGAGGTCACCGAATGGAGGGCGAACGGCACGATACGAAAAGGCAGGGCGAGGCGGATGGAGAAAGAAGTGCCGAGGAGGCCATGGTGGAGGGGAGGGACGGGAGGACGAAAGAAGGGCGAGGAGGACGAGCGGCCCGCACAGGCCGCGAGCAGACAGCGCCTGCTGGCCATTTCGAGACATTCGCAAAGAACGCTATAGCTACATGGGAGGGCTTCGTGAAGGATGGATTGAAAAACATTCGAACAAAGAAGAGGCGACGGGAGGAACCGGCAGAGGATGCAGTGACGTGACCCCCCCCCCCCCCCCCCCCCCCCCCCCCCCACACCGCTCACCCACGCGCACTGGGCCTTGCACTTTGAATGCCGTGGGGCTCCTGTCGTTAGACGTGGAGACGCGAGCAGGGTCGCCCCCCCCTTCCTTGCCCCACCACCTCGTGTGTCGGTGGAGAAGTTTACGGGGTGTGGAGGGTGAGTTGACCAAGGGGTTGTGCGCCGGGCCCTCCTGCTCGGCTCCAGCCGGTAGACAAGTCTTGTCATCAACAGAGTAGATGGATCTGACCTCGGGGCCGATGTGACCAAGCGCTGGTAGCGTGGTTTAACCTCACACCCATGGTCTCACAGTGTGCCGGCAGTCGCCGAGCAGTGTCGCTCACACAAGCCGCAGCACAAGTGACTGAGGGCCAGTGAGGGCGAGCCCATCGCTGTCACAGCTGTGGCAGCCGCACAGTAGGCTGTGTCAGCTGTGCAGAGTGTGTGAGCAGCAGAGGAGCTGCTCTCAAGGCTTCTGTCGCAAAGAGCTGCATGCCACCGAAAGGCCGCCGCGCGATCCGAAGAGTCGAGGTTGCGCCTCACGTTGGCACGCGTGCGGTCGAGAAGGTCGGGGAGTTGCCATCGGTGAGCAGCACCTGTGATGCGCCGAGGCGCGCCGCCACGATACCGCAGAGCCCGGTGCCGCACCCAAGCTCGACGACTCGCTTGCCGCGAATTGCCGTGGACCCGTCGGGGTCGAGAGCCAGGTAGGAGGCCAGCGCTGTGCCGGCGGTCAAGACGGTGGTGCCTGGCCCGACGCTACCCTGCGCGATCGACACTGTGCCAACCGAAGGCCATGCAAACGCACGCGTGCTGTCAATCATGCACGGGTTGATGTAAGCACCAGTCACGATGGTCTCGATGAGGCAGCGGTCCTCGGCGACAGTCCGCAGCGGCACGGCGGGCATCAGCGTCAGCGTCGCGACGAGGCCTCCTCGTCCCGCCCGCCCGCCCGCCCGCCCGACCACCCATTCCCATCACCATCTCACATACTGTCTGCATGAATGCTTGCCCAGGTGTGAACAACACCTCGTGACCACGGCGCCGCAGGCGCCTGTTGATGGGTCCAGGTGATAGCCCTGGATGGGCAATGCATGTGCCTAGTTGGACCTCAGATCGCCCGACCGCGTCCCGGTGCTCTGTGGTCGGATTTGTGACGCCGCCGCACCGCGCCGCGGCCGGGGGCCCGCCGGAGGACGAGGATGGCCGTGACGGACCGGGAAGAGCTCTGGGAGGTAAAGTGTCAGTGTATATATTGTAGAGACCAACCATGTGCACAATATCTCTCAGTCTTGAGCACTTGAGCACTGGATAGGGTCGGTTCCGCATGGTACGGGACCCCTCGATCGTCTCGCCCAACTGGGGGCGGCAGCGCCAGCAACGAGCAAGGAGAGACTGGCGGAGGTTGAGCGGCTGAGTGCAGCAAGGGCCAAGGGCAAGAAAAAGGAATGTGGGCGTGGGCGATACGGGCGCCGCTAGGCTCAACGAGGAGATGCTGTGCGGTGTTAGAGAGCTCGTAGCGAGCTCGATTTTGGATGAGAATTTAGATGAGAAATCCCTCAATTTTGAGAAAAAACGCCAAAAAATCGGCGCCTGCGGCGGGCCAGCCGCGCCTGCGGCGGGCCGCTGGGGCTTCCTTCCCAGACCCCGTTTACACCCGAGCTATGCCCCACGACCTGAGCCGGAGCCCTGCTCGGGGATTGAACTGAGGGATGGGGCGGGGATCCTCCCTCTTCCCGCCGTCGATGCCGGGGCTCAACCAATCCGGAGAGGTCGTTACCATTCCTCCATAGTTCCTCTGGATCAGAGGTGTCGTGTGAACCCCCCAACCCCAGGGCCTCCAGGGCTCGCACCTCAACCTCTCAATATATCGTGGTGTACCTGTGTTAGTGCCAGTGCGCGCCAGTCCCGTGCCCAGTGTTGTGCGAGGGAGTTTTGTTGTAAAATTCTTCTCAATAACCCACTCTTTCCTTCGCATAGCGGCCACTCTTCGGATCGCTGGTCGAGCGACCCGGGGGATGCCCCGCGCGCCTGACCCAGGCGCGAAAACGAATCTGCGAGGCGTGGCCGCTCACGCGGCCCGATGGGGAGGAACGGGGCGAGCCCCCTCCAACCCACCCGCGCTAGGTCTCGGGTTTGACGCATGGGGTCACTCCCGCGAAACTCGTGAACTAGCCGGGGCAGTCGGAGAAGGGGCAACTCCGTGCACTGACGGTCGGCCGCCAGAAAACACGCCTGCGTGGATCGCGTCACACCAATCCTCGCTACCCAACGCGGCCAAAGGATATCCACCTCGAGAACCTCGAGAATCTCAATGAACCCACGTCCCACACCATGAGCTCCGGCGCTACTCCGGCTTGGTGTCCCGGAATATCAGCCTGTCACAGCACGGACGCATCCTGCACAGCGCACTGCTTGGGCCTGGGCAGCCGGCGCACGAAACTGAACGGTAATCGTTCGAGGCACACCAGGATCCTGCTCATCGGAGACTCACAGGAGAGGAATCTCGTTGGTGATATCTGCTGGCTAGCGGCTGGCCGCCTGGCTTCGCCTCAGCTCTCGCGATTCCAATCAGGGTGGGGTCCCACCGCATGCCACTTTGACGATGTCAGCGTGACCCTTGTCCAGATGCCGCACTTTGGCGTGGGTCCTGACTCGATGGTACTGCGCGCCGTCATGGAAGACGCGACGTGGGCGGCAGCAACACACGAGATGCCGACTCGGCTCTTCTTTCTGCCCAGCATCATGGCGGAGGTCGGTGGGCCGCCGACGCACATTGTCGCGCATACGGGCTTGTGGGACTTGCGCTGGCGGATGTGCCGCATCAGCACTCCCCGGGAGCTCGTTCGCACCCTCGTTGCCCGGGGCGGCGAGTACGAGGAGTGGGCACTCGGAAGGCTGCTGCAACCTTTGCAGATGATGTATCCGAACGCGTCGCTTGCGTGGCGCAACCTGCCGCGCATACCCGCCGATGCGGCCTCGGCACAACTCGTCATCCGCAAGCCCTTGTTCAATGGCACGTGCCTGCCCGAGGCGTGGAGCCAACAGAGCCTCGAGCTGGCCTCGGCGGCGGGCGAGCGCGCCGCGGCGCGGGCTAAGGTGCCAGTGCTCCCGCTAAGGAGCGAGGTTGACGACATGCTTTCGCGCTGCGGCGGCAAGATCACGTGGCGCGAAAGCGATGGCCTCGGCTGGCACCTGTCTCCCGTTGCGACAGTCAGGTGGGCGAGGCTGATCCTGGCTTGGGCCTTTGATCGGGAGCACAGGAGTCACGGGTGCGACCAGTGCCGCGTGGCAATGGATCGCACGACCAATGTGCCACAGTGTTGATCACCGAGCATAATACGTGGTGAGGGCAGACCGCCCCACCTCAGCAGTCTATGTCTACATGTTTCTACGTAGCGTCCCGCCCGTGGCCCCGTGCCATGTGCCGCACGGACCTTACCCGAACCTCTCTTCCCTTCCCACAGGTGCCGGTGCCGGTACGAGGGGTATATTGATATAATATATAGCTGATGCTCATCTTAGTGAGGAATACGGGGTGGGCGCGATAGAAATTGTGAGTTACGGCTGGACCTCTTGCCGGCTTTTGCCAGAGGCAGAGAGCATCTCGAGGGCGCTACCGCTAGAGGGCGCCTAGCGCCTAGGCCATGCGGTGTACAATGTAGACACGAAAAAATTAGGGCGAGGCACGCCTCCAACACTGCGGACTGCTCACGCGGGGGCCTAGTGGCCGCAGGAGAACCTCTGGCGCTCCGGAAGAGAGAGGAGAGGAGCACCAGGTATCCAGCCGCATGTAGACCTAGTCCACTGGTGGGCGAGAGTCAGCACCGAGGGCGCTGGATCTGGCCACTGGAGCCACGGCAACGCTTGGCGGCACGCATCCCGAAGCGACGTGCTTTCGCGCCGGCGGCTGCCCGGCCTCCGCTCTCAGATGGTGCCGGGGCGCTTCATGCGGGAGCCCTTGGTCTTGGGCGGAGGCGGCGCCTTCTTGAAGAGGTTCGCAAGGTTCCACTTCTCCTGCTCGCCCTTGGTGGTGCCCGAGGCGATGGCGGCGTCGGGCGCGCGCGAGCCAACGGTGTAGCCCCACCTGGATCGGGTTGCCAACACGCGTGACGTGTAGCCCCACCTGGATCGCCTGTGCGTGTGAGCGTGACGCCTTCGCCGCTGTGGCTGTCGGGTGTTCCTGTCGGAGTTGGAGCATCTATTCAGCCTCACAGCGGGTTGCCTTTGGCACCGGGCTTCTGCGGGCCGTCGGGTGCCTTGTACGCACCCCAGGTGCCAGTCTTGTACCCGTCCATCACGATGCTGCTCCGCGAGCCGCGGAGCGCAGACGCCGGCGCGGTGAAGGCAGCGGCGAGCGCGAGGCACAGCGCGAGGAGGAGGAAGCGGAACATCTGTGCGGTGTGCGGTGCGTCAGAAAGGTGAATGGCAACCTCTGGGAGCACCTGCGATCTGCGAGACGCACATCTCTTGAGAACAACCAAGGCGAGTCAGAGGGAGCAATTTCACACCAGCTGTTTCACAGCCTTGTTATTATTGAGAAGAAACTCCGTCCTGTGGCGCTGTGCGCTGGTCTGTGAGAGGCTGAGGTGCGAGCCCTGGAGGCCCTGGGAATGGGGGAGACTACCATCATGAGGGCAGGGGCCAGGCATCTCCTGTGGTGCATTCTTGGCAGCCAAGGAGCAAAGCACGCGGCCCTGGCTAGCTGTGGTGTGGCTGGGAAGCCGTGCTAAAGATGCGTGCCCGCACTAAAGATGCGGGAACCACATTAAATGTACTGCAGCTGCCCGCACCTAAAGTGAACTAAATGTGGCGCTAAATTGGAGATAAAACACACTAATTATGTGCTAAATATGTGCTAAATATGTGCTAAATATGTGCTAAATATGTGCTAAATATGTGCTAAATTTGTGCTAAATTTGTGCTAAATTCGCGCTAAAGACGCACTAAATACGCACTCGAACACGCACTAAATAGCGCACTAAACTATCACTAAAGTTCATTCACACGCACTAAATTTAGACCCGGGCGCCCTCCCTCGACTGAGCTTGTGCGTCTCGGGTCCGTGGTTGTGTTTTTGTGTGAGCAAGACCGAGGCCCCTCTCGGCGCACCAGAGAAACCAGAAGAACTTTGGAGATCACACTACTCGAGTACTCGAGTAGGCACGGGACTGGCACGCACTGGCACTAACACAGGTACACCCGAAGAAGAACAAACAAACCAAATGACGTGTGAGTGTTAGAGTTGTTTGGTATTGCTAAAAAGAATTCTACGAATACAAGCCCCTCTCACAGCAGACTGGCACGTCAGCACCGTCACGCCGCCCAGCACGCGGCGCAGCGTCTCCATGTCGACCGACGCGGTCGCCTCGTCGAGGACGAGAATGCGCGAGCCGCGCAGCAGCGCACGCGCCGTGCAGACGAGCTGCCGCTGCCCGGCGGACAAGTTGGCGCCCTTTGGCTCGATCGGCTGCAGCAAGCCGGCGGGGTGCGCGCCGCAGAGCGCCTCGAGCGAGCACTGGGCGAGGCACTCGCGCACGTCTGCGTCGGCGTGCTGCCCAAACGGGTCCAGGTTGCTGCGGAGCGAGCCGCTGAAGAGGGTCGCCTCCTGCGGGATGATCGCCAGCGCCTGCAGCGATGTCGACGCCGTCGATGCAGAGATGGAGCCCTCGGCCAGCTCGACGAGCCGGAAGAGCGCCGCCAGCAGGCTGCTCTTGCCGGCGCCCGTGCGACCGACCAAGCCAACCTTCTCTCCGCCCCCGACGAGGAGCTCGAAGCCGCGCAGCACGAAGGGCGTGCCGGGCCGGTACCGCATGCCGACCGACGAGAAGACGATCTCGCCTACAGGCGGGGCTCCGGGCGAGGCGTGGGGAGGGCCTACGAAGGGCGTGGCTGGCCGGCGAGAGGACGGTCTCGCCCCGAGCTGCTCCGAGTGTGCTCGCAGTGTACGCCATGGCCACCGCCGGCGGCATTGCTCTCGTGCAGCTAGGCGACGCAGGTCCATCAGCAGGGCTCAGCAGTTAGCTTACTAGCTTAAAAGTCTTCCCCGGCGGCGCCACTTGCGGATGGGGCGTCCGCCGCCGCACCCACTGCATCCGCCCCCGCTGCACCCGCGTCGCCATGACCACCAAGCTGCGTCGCCTCCTCCTCCTCCGTCGCCTCCGCGCTCTGCCGTTGCGTCGCCTCCTCCTCCTCCTCCTCCGTCGCCTCCGCGCTCTGCCGTTGCGTCGCCTCCTCCTCCTCCTCCTCCGTCGCCTCCGCGCTCTGCCGTTGCGTCGCCTCCTCCTCCTCCTCCTCTTCCTCCGCTGCGGTCTCTTGCTGCGCCGCCGCCTCCTCCGCCGCCGCCTCCTCCTCCTCCCGGTGCAGTGGCGGAGCAGCCTGCCCTGACCCGGCGGAGCAGTAGTCGAGCAGCGGCGCGGCCACGTCGCACCTCAGCTTGACCGCCACCAGCAGCGCCGCCGCCCCCGCCACCTGCGCCCTCCCGCTCAGAGCGAGGTCCGACTCCTTCTCGGCGTCCGCCTGCGGCGCGAGCTTCCGCACCGCCGCCTCGACCCCCTTCCCAAAGCCAACCAGCCCACGCCAGCCTCCGCCTCCGCCTCCGCCCCCGCCTCCGCCTCCGCCTCCGCCTCCGCCCCGCCTCCGCCCCCGCCGCCACTCCGCTCGGCGCCGCTCACCCGCCCGACGAGCCGCACCGCCAGACGACCAACCTCGGCGGGCAGGCCGGCGTCCGCGGCGAGCCGGCCGAGCAGCACCTGCGGGGTGGGGGAAGGGCGTGTGGAGGGTAGACGTGTCAGTGTGGAGGGCAGAGACTCGAGCAGCGCCTGCAGCCGGACGGGCGGGGCGCGCAGGTGCAGAGCCTTCCGGAGGCGCGTTGCGAGGAGGGCGAGCGAGTCGGCGGTCGGGAAGCTGCTGCCCGAGGAGCCGCTGCCGTACGGGCGGAGCAGGCCTGGCAGCCAGCGGACCAGCGGCAGGTACGCACTCGGCGCGGTGAGGGCGAAGGAGA